GTGAATTGATTTGGCTCACTACGGGACGTAGCATTGCGCTTGTGTGTTTTGGCAACCCATACAACTTTGGTGATTTGGCATACGTAGGTGTTATCGATTTTATGTTATCAGATTTAATTTTTCGGAGCGTTTCATTATAAGGTCACTAGTTATTTTAAGTGTGTTATTTGCTGGGTTTTATTTTAACTTTTTATAAGTGCTTCCATCCGACAAAAATTCTATAGTATAATTTGAAATTATAATCTGACGTATCCGTAAGGAAGTTAATATACGCAAAATAATGCGTAAAAATTTGTATTATTTGAATGTGTAGTGTTCGCGTAAATATAAAAAATCATTCCTCACGACGTTTGCGTTCACCGCCGAGCACTTAACAATTTCATTGGTGCTGGCGAGGATCGAACCCGAGTTGCTCGCGTACATTGAAACTTACAGCGTGCGCTAACCATCTGAGCTACCATGGGTTAAAAACAATGTTATGCTAATTAGCCAAAAGGAGCTATATGTTTCTTCTGTTCTAATATGTGCACTAATAAGCCACGCTGCAGCTAAATTATGGTTGTATAGCTCGAATGGGTCGGCTCGACGAGATAGGACCACTCCTGAAGACTAAGGTGAAATGTCTCAGAATTTGTAACTGGCTCTTTATATCCTTCAGACATGGACACAATGACAGATATCTAAAACGCTCTAGCTTTTTATTTTTTAGATTTTTATTTTGCTTTTTATTTCTATAGCTCATACAAGCTGAATACTCGGGCGTCAAATATTTTATAACTGTGATGCTGCAGTCAATCATCTTTGAGTTCATTTATGTTGATGTAATAAAAACGACTAGTTTGCTAACTGTAACTTATGCGATAATTGAAATAAGCGTTTTAAAGGAATTTAATTATATCAAGAAGACTTAAACGTGTATTAAAGTTGCTTTATTATTTAAATTATTCAAACGAAATCTCTTAACAGTTAACAAATTTATTTGGGCAAACTTTGCTCTCAGTTGCTTGTTATCCTGAAATATTAATTAGAATTATTTTAATTAATGCTTCAAAATTAAGTCGTTGTGACAGGTCCATTGACTCGAGTATACAGTTGTTGTCGTCAAATTGTATTATTACATAATTTTTTATTATAATGAAGAAGAAAAAATATCGATAGCGTAATAGTTATGATAAACATACTTTTCAAAACATAGTTTATGCAGTGAGATGATTTGTAGTTTAAAAAGATACACACAATTTATCTGTTAGACATACAGACACAACAAGAAAACAAAATCTAAAAGCAATTTTCGCGGTAACATATTCATCATCATCATTCAACATTACAGCCTTTCACAAGTCCACTGCTGAACATAGGCCTCCCCCAAGGTATGCCATAAAGCACGGTCCTGAGCCACCTGCATCCATCGACTTTCTGCATGTTAACCAGTCGTCACTCCATCTAGTGGGGGGTCGCCCTACACTTCGTCACCAGTACGGCTGCCACTCGAGAACCTTTTTTCCCCAACGGTTGGCGGTTCTTCGAGCTATATGGCCGGCCCATTGCCACTTCAGCTTACTAATCCGTAGTGCTATGCCGGTCACTCTGGTTCTACTGCGGATATCCTCATTATTCGCGTTAACATATTATGTAAACATAAAAAAAACGTTCATAGATGCAACTCACTTCCAAACCTTACGTTAATTCCTTTTTTTTACTTTGTAAGTGTGTTAAATAAATTTTTACGGAGTAGAGCCATGCTGCAGCTATATTATGCTTACAGCAGGAATTGGTTGACTTGACCACGCTCTCACAGAGTATCAGCGTAAAATAGCAGCTGTTGCTGTGTTTCGTATGGTGAGCAAAGAAAACCGGATACTCTTTTACTAGAAACGAGGCATTCCATCTTAGTCTTTTTCTTTTCTTAACCGATTATTAATCGAAGATAGACATAGATTTCCATAGTTCACAGCGTCCACTTACTATTACGTGGACTGTTTCCTCCTTTGTCAACCTTATTTTATAAATAAAAAAAAACATCCTTTAAGTTATTCATGCCAGTTGACGCATCCTTAAAAAGTTTTTAATCTTGCGGTAGATTTAATATAAAATACGTTTAAAGACAAAAATAACTGCAAACTAAAACAAGATTACTTCTAATATTTATATCATACAGCCAAAGGACAACTATTTATATGTGATGAAATATATATATAATATTTCATTACTACCTTCGGTACAGCCAAATACAAAACCATTAGAAAACTTCAAATATAGCTTTAAATAATGTCATTGACTAAATTTTAAAAGCAAAACCGCAGCCTATATATAGCCACTTGATGGATCAGCAATTTTTTTATATTTCTTTGATGCCGGCGGGGATCGAATGTATTAAACTATCCCGTGTAGTGGCGGTGTAACAATATCCACTACCCCATACTGTACTGTGAGTGTCGTAAGAGGTGACAGAGAGAAACAAGCTAGGAGATGAGCAGCAGCGTCTTCCTGATAACAACCTAAAATTACAAAAAAAAACTCTTTGGTTGCCAACTGGCTTGCAAAGCGTGGCAACTATGGCAAAACCCCTATGAGGCAATCTATAGTCTAATCGATCTTCGTTCAGCAGTGGACTTTAATAGATTGTAATGGATGGATACTATATTTTGCACACAATTTTTTCTAACGGGGCTGCTCCGAAGCCGTGCTTATCACCCGTCAATCTGGTTTCGTGCGTAGGTCGACCGTGAGCATCTTCGAACTGCTTCCATAGTCAACGATATTAAAATATTTTAGGGCTATAAGTACCTTTATAATTTATTTTATTTTATTTTTATTGCAAACTCAATTGATGGTAAGTGTTGGCGCATTCTTGGGTTGTAAATGAAGAAGAAATATGTTTATATGGTTGTATATCGTTTAGGATATTCCACTCAATAATTGGCAATACAGAGTATTCAATGAGGGATTTAAATTAAAATAATTCACGACTTTTTCTGCCACCAAAAGGGCGGCACTTAAAAATGAGGTGTAATATTAGAAAAAAAATCATAGCGGGAAAGTTAATGTGTTCGAAAAATGTAAAGGTAAATTTTTCTTTCTGATCTATTATTGTATTTTATATTAATTAATTTAAAAATAAATGAAGCATTACCATAATCATTTTTTTTTTATTAAAACTCTCCTGATTTATCTTCTAGTGACCGCAATACTCGTTAAGTTATGCGAGGTGTGCGATAGACAACTTGAAAACTTTGTGGAAGTACTATCTGGGCAAAATAGTCTAACTTTTCTTTAAGTCGCTAACTTCCTATTGCAGTTCCTTCTTGTATAAACTTGTCTTATCGCCACTTGCTAAGGAGAACTACGACGAAATCTTAATTTATGTTTAAATTATGTTTAATGAAAAAATCATTTATGAAGCAGAAAATTACTGCCACTATCTTCTAAAGAAAACTATTGTATTAATTAAATATTCCGACATTCACGACAATGAAGTACAAACATTCATTGACGTGAATGAGCAAATGAAAGCTAGTTTTCAATACTAGCACTAAAACAACCCGGTTTATACCTACACTGTTACTTCTATAAAATGCCTACACAATCCCATTTCACCACAAGTAAGCCTACGTTTAACACTCCCTTGACAAATTATAAATTTACGTTCAAATCAAATACGAATGTAGTAGGGAAGGTTGTCAAATTGATGTTTAATTAACTCATTGCTTGATTCCTGTCGCTGTGAGATCAAAGTGCTTTGATGTTTTCGGGGTCAGGGCTTTAAGCGTCCCGGCGTCGAGAGAGCGTCTCCTGTTTAACGGTTTGGCAAAGGGCAAACGGTAACGATTACTTTATATACTGTTGCTACTCATTTTGAGGTTTGGTGTTATTGGAGCGAAAACCATTTTAATAAACACGTTTTTTTTCCTTAATAGATAATTTAAACGATAACACATTTTAATAACAAGAGCCATGAACACTTAAGGGCTAAGTGCTCGTAGAAAATTTCAAGTACGCGAATATCTCGGGTTGGATGAAATAATTAATTGCGATTTTATGAGCTAATTTACCAAGTCTTTGGCGTTAAAGGAACTTACAATTCAACTGATGGCAAATGTCTGCAGCTCATTGACAACTGCAACCAACTTCAAATAAAGAAGGCTGCAGATGAAGGTTGAAGCATTATATATATATGGTTATGTTTTGTTATACACTAGTAAATATTTATACTGCATGCAACTTATTTGTTATAAAATTAATTGTTAAACACTCAACGTCACATAACCACACATACACATTCACTTTCACCCTCATATATACACCCTTTCACACACACACACCAAATCACTTAGCTATAAACGTAAATAACCTTAATAATGTTGCGAGAAAAACAAACTATTTGCTACCACTTTATACTTCAATATCTATTTTTAATGATTAGCACATTAAATACTATAACTAACATGGACAACTTAGAAATTGCACGATCAATAAAATGTAATGTTGAAGATGTTGAAAAGTTATTAAATATAAGTTATGAGGATTTCAAGATGATAACCCAAAACGTTCGTAGTATCTATTCCAATTTTGATGACTTGCTTACTACACTAACTAGTTTTAAATTTTGTCCATCAATCATTATTTTGACCGAATGTTGGCTCTCAGAACACAAATCAATACCAGCTATCACAAATTATGTATCATACTCTTCTACTCGATATTTTAATAAAAGTGATGGAGTAGTGGCTTACGTTAAGAATGATATGGCTGTTAATGTAAAGGAAATTTTACTTCGAAATGCCTCGTGTCTTCAAATAGAAATAGAAACAGTTATAATTTTGGCTATTTATAGATCACCTAATACAAATGCAGACATCTTTATAAATTCATTAAATGATCATTTGGAATCTATAAGTATGTGTAAAAATATCATTTTATCAGGTGATATAAATATTAATATTATCTCCAAAGACTCAGAACAAAGTTTGGAGCGGAATAATCGATTAAAATATCTAGATATGCTAGGTACTCATAGTGTAATGATGGGACATTGTTTCCCTACTAGGGAAGATAGTTCTTTAGATCATATAATGCTTAAACTTACGCACGATAAAGTGGCCCAAATTGCAGTTTTGAACACGACAATAACTGATCATACTATGGTATTGCTACACATAACTAATGTTAAACCTCAATTAGTGTATAATAAAACAAAATGTATTGTGGATTTTGAAAAAGCTATAATCGATCTAAAAAATAAAAACATACATGAACTGCTTTTATGTAATGATCCAAATGTATTAACCGAATTATTGTTAGGAAAACTAATGCAATCTTTAAAAGAAAATACAGGACTGCTTCTTGTACCTAAATGTAAACGCATAATTAAGCCTTGGATGACTCCAGGTGTGCTGCGTTGTGTCAGGCATAGGAATAATCTACAGCAAAAGCTCCGTCAAAATCCCAACGACGAGATTCTTAGAATTTCCTACTGAAGATACCGAAATAATTACAAACATCTCGGTAGAAATTTGAAACAAAAATTTAAAAAGAATCTTCTGGAGGTCTCGGTGGGTGAATCTAGGAATCTCTGGAAAAATATTGCTAAAGTAACATATAGGAAGCACTCTAAAAGGGATAATACAAAGTTACTGCAGATTGGGCCTTGCGCAGGTGATTCCGTTGATCAAGCTAATAACTACTTTAGTTGTGTGGGCAAAAACTTGGCCGATGCGATTGTCCGGCCAAACAAGAAACAATTTATGCACAATTTTTGTACAAATACTCAGACATCATCTTTTGTTCTCTACGATACAGATATGGAAGAAGTACACTCTATTCTGATGGCATTAAAATCTAACAGTGCACCAGGCTGGGACAATTTCCAGCTAGTTTCCTAAAACTTGCAAGAGCAGAAGTCGTGCCGGTTCTTTGTCATTTAGTGAATCTTTGTTTTTGCAAAGGTATATTTCCGTCTTTGCTCAAGGAGTCCCTAGTAACACCTGTGCATAAGAGTGGAGATGAGAAGGATATCAGCAACTACAGACCAATTTCGGTATTGCCTGCAATATCGAAAGTTATAGAAAAACTTATCAACAAGAGGCTCATAAGTTTCCTCAATAAGTTCCACATCTTATCCAGCTCACAATTTGGCTTTCAAGCAGGGAAATCGACTGAAAACGCTGTAGAAGCCCTAACTTCTGTAATTGTTGATAATCTTGATAAAAAGACAAACTGCCTCGCAGTGTTTCTTGATCTTAAAAAGGCATTTGACACCGTGTCTACACCCATTCTGTTGCAAAAGTTAGAAAACTGTGGGATTAGAGGTGTGCCCCTTGACCTGCTTAAAAGTTACATGACTGGGAGGACTCAGAGGTTAAAAATAGGTTCATATATAAGTCAAAAAACTGGTCTTACTTATGGCGTACCGCAAGGAAGCGTCTTAGGGCCCACCCTGTTTCTAATATACGTAAACGAACTCTGCAATATGAAGATCCCTCATGCTAGCATATTCTCATATGCTGACGACACTGCCATTGTGTTTACAGGCGACTCCTTGAACAATTTAAAGATGAATACAGAGTACGGTTTGGCTGTGATTTCGCAATGGCTAAGTCTTAACTTACTAACATTAAATACCATCAAAACAAACTATATTTTGTTTTCCATAAAAAACAGTCTGCCTGACTTTCCCAGTGATATTAAGATTCATTGCTGTCAGCCGCTAGTTAGCACGAATTGCAACTGCCCCACTATAACTAGACTAACTTCTACGAAGTATCTTGGTGTCTTAGTGGACCAGAGACTTTCATGGGTGTCTCATGTCGAATTAGTTTCTAGCAGATTACGTAAATTAATGTGGATTTTTAAAACACTAAGACACGTTGCAAGTAAAAAGTTACTTGATCAGATCTATATTGCGTTGGCACAATCTGTTTTGATTTATTGTATAACGATATGGGGTGGTGCAGTAAAGACTCATTTTATACAATTAGAACGAGCTCAAAGGGGATTATTAAAAATTATGTATTTCAAAACACGTCAGTTTTCAACAAATTCATTGTATTTATATGCAGATTTATTGACAGTTCGTAAACTATACATATTGCACGTAGTTCTGAAAAAACATATGTCCTTTAATGTTGACACCAATATTTTAACTAAAAGAAGAAAAGATAGAGTCGCCACACTAAATTACACCAAGACTAAATTTGCTCGCAATCAGTACAAAAACATCTCGTCTCACTTATATAATCAAATAAATAAAATACTAGATATATATCCTATGACTTATAGAAACTGTAAACTAAAACTCACTGAATGGCTGAAGACATTAGAATTTATTGAAGTTGAAAATTTGTTAAAATTAGAATTTTGATATGAGGTTATTTTGTGTAAATCACTCACACATTACATACATACACACATCATAACCTCCATGTACTTGTATATGTAACTACCACCTCTGCTCAGTGGTTTAACGCTGATCCCAAGACCTTTTATGTCGTAGGGCTGTGCATAGGGGTAACGTATGTAAACTTTCACACAACACATTACACTCACATACACTACACACATACTACACACACACTACACTTTCACTACATACACACACACTACATATATATTATTTTTACTTTCTTTAATTTGTACAAGCGGTTCTTGCTTTAGTAAATTTTATGATATGGAAGAGGGGCTTACTTCTGATACGGGCGCATTATGCGCTCAATAGAAGAAGTCTACCATGATATATGTATTTGTCAGACCGTGGTTATGAATAAAACTTTTTATTTATTATTATTATTTAGATGCTTTGTCACCTTGATGGATACATTTCTAGACAGCATATTAGGCAATATCCTTAAAAAAGTATAAAAGTACACAGATTTAGTATTTATAGAATGAATATCACTTATTTTTGAAAAACTACGTTTATTCTTGTGTACGTACATTACATTTTCATAAATGTATTGAGAGGCCAGAGTTAATATATTAATTTCCTTAAATTTTTTCTCAGTGACTCTTTTGGTTTTAAATTATATCTAACGGCTCTAATGGCTCTCTTCTATAAAATAAATATAATTTCCGCGTCAGTCGCGTGTCCCCATAGCAAAATACCATATGACATGATATGGAAATAACTAAACTATTCTAGCTGTTTCAACACCTTTTAGCTGTTTCAACGCTTTTTACCTCTATTACCTCTGTATAACAATTGCTTTAAGGCCTGTTAAGGTAACTGAATGTCGGTCCCTTTAGTTAATTGTATACAATAAAATACAATATATTTATACTATACTAGTACTCGCACATTATTTACTTTGATGTAATGCAACTTTTGATCATGTGCGAGTTATTCGTGCTTGAAAACGGTCCGGCAACTTTATAGAATGGATATAATGTTTTAAGTAAATTATTTAGCAGCGATATAGCTTCACTTTAGCTGTAAAATAAATATTATAATAAATAAAAATAACTACTTTTGAACATTTTACTTCGTTAATCAAAATATTCACTTATATTTTAAAATATAAAGAAACTAATTTGCGGAATATATTTCTCTCAGAAGTCGAGAATTTAAATTTTAGTTATTCTGAAAATAAAATGAATGAACTTTACAAAATTATAGTACGTAAATGACTCTCAAACTTAGTGTAAATTAATAGACATTAAAATGTTCGAATGGTATTTTAATATACCACAGAAAAAAATTTAATACCATTATCATCAGGCGATAATGATATCACATTTATTAGAACAAAAAATAATCTTTCAGTGAGACTAAATATCACAATGAGGTGTTAATAATGAATAAATTATCGCCTGTTAAGATGTCGCTCTTTGTTTAACTGAATTTATTTCAAAAATATTTTTAATCGTTAAATTCACCTAAATAGCATAAGTTATTTATTATTATTAGTTATTTGTTTATTAAAACAAATTAAGAGGCCATGATGTAAAAAATAATTAAGTAAAGAGAACACTAGATTATGGAATACTTATTACAATGCCCAAACAGTCTTAGTTGCAATTTTAGTGTTTGAAATACAAAGTTATACAAATAATAATATAAACGTGTCATAATGTTCAAGTTGATGTCGTAATAAATTATATTCATTCAATCAGACCGTATTTATTTTAAAATGGGTGTAATAATCCAAACGATCAAAGTAAGTGGAATGTAAGTCAATAATTACAACCTCTTAGAGAGGACACAATAAGAAGGGAATTTTCTATTAATTCCCGAATTCTTGAGTGATAGGGTGAAATTTCCGCTAGGTGTCAATATAATGGCAGGCCGTTTGTGAATTTTGTATCGAGTAAGGCTGACTTCGCTCACCCCAGCGCCCCGATCAGTGCTTTCGGAGAAAATAGTTCCATTATGGTCGGCTTTTGGTCTTCTAGGAGGTTTTTCTCATAGTATAAGAGAAAACTCACATTCTTTGATGGTTTTTCTCTTTTTTAATAATAAAAAATAGAAAATGAATAAATAAATGATTAGTTCACTTTACTTTCATATTTTCACTTCAATGAGCACAAAAACATGGATATAGTCTTCTGTTGGATATAATCCAAGCCCAAATGGGGAATATCAGTTGCTGTTTCAGATCAGATTAACAATCCAATATTAGAATTTTTAACTAGGTCAGTGTTTGACTACTACCTACTATTAAATGGTTAACATTTAAATCTATTAATCTATTCACACCAGTCTTAAAATTCTAAAATTTATTCTTAGCAGTGCCAGTCACAGGCCTGCTTATAATTTTTATTTTATTTTAGTTATTATAAAGCTGACAATTTAAGCTGAGGATAAACTATAAAGTTTCAGCGAACGTTAGTTGGCAAAATTTAATTTAGCACTACTGAACCCAAACGTCATAGACTAGTGATAGGGAGCACCATTAACAGCGCAAGGGAATCTTATCTGTGCTCACCACCTCGCCTAAGCATAATTGGAAGTATTAGGAAGTTCTACCAATTAATACTTGGAAGATTTGGCCATGTTCTAGTCTATCCCGCGTGGCGGCCGTAAGTGAGGCGACAATGGGAAATGACAAAAAGATCCTATAGCTTCGGATAGATGGCGTATAACCATCTTTTTACACCAACATAATATAGCTTCTGGTGGCGGGAAGCAGAATCATACATGCGGTATATCTGGTACCGCGATTTAGGGTCCGTCTGCCATTCGTGATAAACCTATTTTTATATTAATCTGAAGTAACAAACCACCTCATGATAAGTGGCTTCAGTCCGTAGAAACCTGTAACTAACTTCAAACAAAGCTACAGATGCGTTGTCACCTGAGTCTCAGGACTAAGATGAATGCTTCACATCCTGTAATGATTAATAATATTATTCCTACAGTGGGAGAAGCTTTCCAGAGTGGACTTTATCGGTATACAGTCAAAAAATAAAAAAAAAAAAAAAAATAAGCACACTCGTTTTTTTTTAATATATGTAATAAGTTGAATTAATTTTTACACTCTCA